GTGAGATGACACCTCATTGTTTTTTATTTTGCATCTCTCTGATTATCAACAACTACACCAATTTCATTGATTACTATGGGTTTCCAGCTCTTTCCTTTCCATCCATTTCCTTTTCATCCATTTGCATTGAACTGATTTCCTGCTATGAACCATGCAGGAGCCACTGAGGAGGTCCAAGGTGGCCCTGGCCTGACTCTCCCCCAATCCTGCTGTTAGTTGTAGTAGCGACTCCACTCTTCCCTACCGTGGCCAGCTCTTCCTCAGAAGTGGAGATCTGCGTCTCTTGACTAGTTCCTTCAGCTTCCAGGGATGTGACCATCTGGGCCTCCTCAGCGCATTAGGCAGACTTTCCTGAGTTACTCCTGGAGCTGGGCTTCCTGCTCTTCCAGCCCATTAAGGAGACCCTGTCCTTGCTGTTTCTGGGCCTGTACTTTTTGCAGATTAGCATTTTCCCTTTGAAGACCCTGGCCCACACTGTTCTCTGTTGAAGAGTACATCTGTCGCCCAGCTTGAGTGCCCCAGTTGGTTGAGCATTAGCCTCTGCACTGAAAGGTTACTGGTTCAATTCCAGATCAAGACCCACACCTGGGTTGTGGGTTCAATCCTTGGTCAGGGTACGTGCAGAAGGCAACTGACCAATGCTTCTCTTTCACATCCATGTTTCTCTGGCTCCCTCCTTCCCTCCTTCTCTCTATGCATGTCCTCGGGTAAAAATTTGAAAAAAAAATATAGAGGACCTTCTTTCTCACTCCTTAAGGTCCTCTTGCACATTATTCTTGACCCTCTTTAGGTCAATGGTGTCATTGTTAAGAGTTTCTAGCTCCTTAATAGTAGAGGAATCTGTAGGAGGACTGGATCCTAAGATGCTCTTTTCTAAATGGGCCCTGTCTGATGGTGGAAGCATTTCAGGAATAAAAATGGGAAAATGATCAATGCACTTTATTATCTTCTGATTGACTGAGTGAAATGCCAAGGCAAACATATCCTTTGAAAGCTTCCCAGGGTCACATAGCACCCAAAGGTAGGCTAGTCAGGTAGAAGCTAACCCTGTCTCCAGGAAGATCTCACAAACTTCCAACCAGACACAAACTCATCCATGTCCTTATCAGTTTATAGGAAGATGTCATCCACTTCAGCTTTTCTGCAGGGGATACAGCCCACGTTTTCCTCTTATCAGGTGGCACAAGGCTGGAGGCCAGGACATGGGCACAGGTGCTTGCTCCAATGTGCCCTTTACCAAGCACATGGCACCTGCAGACTCATGTCTGTGAGCATCGCAGCAGGGCCAACACCATCAGCTCCTAAACGCTTCCAAGGGCAGCCACAGGCAGCTTGGAGGTCAAGGACGCTGGTTTCCCTTTATCACAGATAGAAATCCATATTCAGGGCTTAAAACAATAAAAAATGGCACCATGTTTGCCCTTGTCTTCAGATTTTACAGCCCATGAGAGCTCCCATGCAGAGGTTCCACTGTCCAGCAAGGGACTTTGTGTGTCCTGAAATCTTGGCTCAGGAAAGCAAGGTTCAAGCTCCTCAGTGACACCTGCAATGCATTCTGGGTACATGCACAAGGCATAGAGCAATGAACAATTCCTCTTTGCTCAGGACACCTTTGCCTTCAGGGTCAGCGAAATCCCAAACCTTTCCCAGTGTCAGAACTGGGGACCTGATATGTTCAGGAAAACAGCAGCATCAGAAGCCCATACCCTCAAGGATGGCCTGTACCTCCCTGTCTGTAGCATTTTTCACATGAAGGGGTCCCACTTGGTAGCTGTGTCAGGGAGAGGTTGGGCCGGCACAGCCATGGTGCCCCCATCCTGCTTTGGAGGGGAAGGAAGGACAGGCAGGCAGGGGCTGGGAAGAAGGGGAGGGTGCAGGGGAGGCAAGCCCTTTCCTCCTCTCACCCCCTGGGATTTCCCTTTCACATCCATTCCTATTGGACGCTCCCCTCCCCACACCTGCTTCTCCACAGACAGTCCCTCCCAGGGCTTATCCTGATGTTCAGGATGCAAAAAGGTGGGTAGTTGGATCTGCCCTGCCCCATGGCGACCTCTCTCCCTAAATTAGCATCTGACTGTGATGTGCCCAGCAGGGCCCACGCCAAAGGTGAACCCCACACTCACGCTTCGACAGACGCCCATGCCCGGCTATAGTGAATTAAATCCGTTTTACACACACAAAGAGTGTGTGGCTCAGTGCTGACCAAGGGCTGGGTTCCTGGGCAGAGAGAACCCAGTGCCCATATTCAAAGCATGTGGACGGGCAACCCTGCTCCAACTTTCACCTTAAGTCCAGATCCCCTCCCTGTGTGTGGCCACCCTGGGACCCTCTCTTATCCACACGGAGGTGGGAAACACCACATTGATGACTTCTGGCTGCACCCAGGCACCAGTAACCACTCAAGGTTAGACCCCATTGTCTATTCTGCTTCCCTCTCCATCTGGGGAACTTCCACTTCCCTTTTGGGCATTGAGGATGGCCACATGTTTCAGAAAAAGTGTGCACAGCCTTTCTCAGCATCAGGAGCAGATGGGATTTGTACGTGGGTATAGCAACCATCCAATTCTTGCGGAGTTCTGAACAACACCGCTCAGGGCTCACCTCACAGGGCTTAGTCAGGTGTGGAAATAAACCAGAATGGCTCCCTCCAGGTTCCCGCGGCACCGACCCCACAACCACTATAAGGAGTTCAGTTCTTGAGGACGTGCTAGATGAGAGGAAACTGTGACTCAAGAGATTGTACATTGAGGATGAAGATCACACACTGATGGACAATGGTGGACGATTTACATAAGAATCAGCCCAGCAAGCATGGCCCAAGGGTTGTGCATTGATCTATGTATGAAGCAGAAGTTCCAGGTTCGGTTCTCAGTCAGGGCACATGCCCAGGTTGCGGGCTCCATCCCCCATGTGGGGTGTGCAGGAGGCAGCCGGTCAGTGATTCTCTCTCATCATTAACATTTCTGTCTCTCTCTCCCTATCCCTTCATCTCTGAAATAAATAGACATATATTTATAAAATAATAATTAAATAAATAAGAATCGGTTTTGTTCCCCAAATCAGAGCAATAACACACTATTGTCACTGACTGTGAAGACAGGGGCCCGGGAGGAGAAGGAGAGATCTTCTTGAGGAACAAGGCACTGAGGGGAGGAGGGACTCAGAGGCGAGTTACCAGGCTGCTGGGGTGGATGCTGTTGCAAGAAAGGGGAGTGACCAGGGGCTGGGATAGGAAGAGACCCACACTCTGGGGCCAGAGGGGGAGACCCGTTTCCTTCCCTTATTTCCCTGCGTTTGCCTCTGTGCTCATTGTCACAGGGACATCGCCCTGAGCTGC